ATGGCTCCCGCCACAGCGCCGGAGGGGGCTGCGAGCCCGGGGCGGGCGCTCGCCCCCGCGACGCTGCTGAGCCGCGCTCCGATGCAGGGCCCCGAGGCGCTGGCACCGCGCTCCGCCGTCGGCTCGGGCTGGAAAAGTTTCTCCATGGTTCCTTTGTGTCGCCCGAGCGCCCGGTCGCCGGCCCCGAGCTCCCCCGGTCTCCCTGGGTAAGTGAGCGATATTGTTCGCTTGCGGGGCTGCCATTTTGAGCAAGTCTGTCCTTCCCCAGCCCCCGAGCTGCCCCTCTCCGCCTCTTCCTCCCCCAGCCCCGCTCCCCGGGCTGCTGATCGGGGAGAGGCTCTGTCCTGGGCGGCTTCGCGGGCTGCGCTGCCCGGCAGAAGCGAGTTGAGGATTGCCCTCCCTGCGCTCTTGCCTGTCTTCTCTCCAGAGGCGGGCTCCCAGCTGCTGCGCTCATGTGACCCCAACATAAATAAGCAGACCAGACGAAGGGCGAGGGGGTCGCTGCCTGCCCGCGAGGGGCAGGGGCCGAGGACCTGGGCTGGGGGCCGGGCGCGGAATGGCGCTCCCTGCCTGCGGGCTCCGAGCCTCAGACAGCGAGTGGGGCTTAATCCATCATGAGCGGAGAACTTGAATGTCTGTCTTGGAAGCAGTTGTATTTTTAGACATCCCTCCTTTGCTTCCCCCATCCTCCATTCCTTAAGCACGGAAAGACCTGCATCAGGCAGTAAATTGCGAGGGCAGCCAAACTCGCCTGTTAAGTTTGTTTTCTTTCATTGGGTATAAAGGGAAGCCCCAAAGATGGGTCTTCCGTGGCATCTGACCTTTGTCAGTATTTCATGTCAGATACATTAAAAAGGAGTTCAATCTTCAACAGAGCTGGAGGAGTAATGAACCAGGGAGTTAATTACTAGCTACTAAATTTTAAAGATCTTCTGTAAACGATTGTTGAAATCCATTCCAACATTTCTTACATTCTACCCAGAGCCAAAGCTGCCTTGCTGAGAAGAAACACAAGTGGGTGCCTTCCTCCCCCAAGACATACTGGTGCTCCTTATCAATGCCCGACAGAACGCTAGACCTCTCTCCCAGGAGAGCCACCTTGCCAACTAAGTCTGGGTTTGCTGCTAAAATGCCTGGTCCTTAAAGCCTTCTGAAGATAACTACAGATCTCCAGATTATTAAAGATGCTGCAGTCTAGGGATCATTTAAAACAGCAGTCTCTATGTTATAACTACATGATAAATGGGCTTATTTGGGGGAATGATCTATGGACAGTAAACTACTTTTTTAAAGAAAAAACAAGCTGTTTGTACTTACTGGTGCAACTTTCTTAAAACAAAATTTAAAAGGTCTATAGATGTATTCTCTCTACTGACTCCTCTCTAAGCTACCTAGCATTTCTCTTTACTGAAACCCAACTAAGTTCCAAAGATAGATTGATTGGCAAACATTGTAAATTGCTGGTCACCAATGGAGAAAAGATCCTACCTGTATTGATATAATGGAGAGAATTAAGGGCCCAAATGTTATCATCCAAGCACCAATTAAAAGCAAAAACATTTTACCTAAGTAATCCCACATTTTCAAAGAGCAATTTATTCTAAATCATGAATTATCTTGTAAAGTATAAAATACCAAAAGGCTTGTGAGTGATATCTAAGTCTTTCAGATTTATACCATGCCCTTAATTTTAACATGTCTATTATAGGATGGAACACAACCAATGGAACAGAAAATGTTTTACTCTGGGGATCCAGCAGGACTGAAATTTTTAGAAGCTGTCAGATAACCATAAATATGCATCTGTGAATGCACCTACCCAGGCTTTATTATAAACAACTAAATAAACTTCCTAAGGATGGTCCTTAGGATTGACTGTTGCCACCTCTCTTCCTAAAAATGACCTCATGAGAGAAGGATGGAGAAAACAGCTTTCACTTGAGGAAATGTCATCCTAGAAATCATCATCATTACATAGACTGTTTACCTACTTAATTACCTACTCGTTTGAATACTGGGATTCCGTAGAGTGCTGTTGGCACATTAATAAGGGTTCAGAAAACTATTATGGCAATGTTTTGTTTTGTTTATTTAGGTTGTAATTTTCTGACATGAGAAAAAGATCTTCCTCTTGGAAATTCCGGGGGACTTCTCAAATTCCCTGATGAAATCTAGCACATGATACATTAATAAGGGTTCAGAAAACTATTATGGCAATGTTTTGTTTTGTTTATTTAGGTTGTAATTGTCTGACATGAGAAAAAGATCTTCCTCTTGGAAATTCCGGGGGACTTCTCAAATTCCCTGATGAAATCTAGCACATGATACCTTTAAGGGAGTTCCTCTGAGGGAGGGGAGAAGGCCAGAAGGAAGAGCTCAGTTACATAACCAGTTACCTAAAACTAAATATTCCACCCCGAGAAGCCGTCCAGATGTTGCAGAGCAGAGATGAGAAGGCTGCGAGAGGGACCTGCTTGCTTTTAGCTGCAGGAACAAGAATAGGTGGGAGACAACTCTGTGAAGGGATTTATTGTCAGTGTATTGAAATATCTCTGCTGTTTTCCCAGCAATGAACTCTCTATTAATTATCTGTAGTAAATAAGCCATCTGCCTGCCAGTTTATGACCTTTCATTTTCATCCAGTGAAGTGAATTCCTTTCATCTTTATACAATAGTAACTTTCTCGTGACTGTTTTAGTGACTGTGGGCCCCACACTGACAGATTCCTCTGCTTAGAGACTTGAAAATCCTGTGGCAGCTCCCTTGGGAAGTCTTCCGATTCCCGTAGGACAAAGAGAAAGGCTCTTACCAGGAAAGACCTCAAAAAAAAATCTGAGTCCCCACATTTAGTTTTTACTTATGGTCAGAACTCCACTGGCTGCCGGCCAGGAGGATTTGAGATGAACAATGCTGGATATTACCTATGGAGTGTGTGGGGAGGGGGGAAAGAAGGCTGTTCTCTCAAACTGTTTTATTACCACCGGTCAGTTATTGCAACAACGTTTCCCGTCCCTAATATCCACCCCACCCTGGCCTCTGTACACTGTCTTTCGGTTAGTGGGTAAAGGCCCTAGGGTGGGGGGCACACATGGATTGGGATCTGGGAGCGGGGCAGTTGCAGTGCGTGGAATGGTGCTGCAGTGAAGCCTACACCCTCTGACTGTCTTCCTCTGCTTTGCAGCAGGAGGAGGTGAAGGAACAGCTAGTGGGCAGGTGGCGCCCCCACTGCATAAGCCTCTGCCCCAGGGGCTAGCCCCGCACTCGGCGAGTTCGCCATGATCGCCACCGGCGGCCTGCTGAGGATTTCCGCCAGAAAGCAGGATCCCCTGCGCCCCCCGAGCCAGGTGCCCAAGCGCAAGCGGAAAGCCAGGAGGAGGCGCAAGAACGACGTGGTGGTGGTCAAAGGCAAGCTGAAGCTGTGCTCCGTCTCGGGGCTCATCGCCCTCTGCGGCATTCTGGTGCTGCTGGTGGGCATAGCCATGGCGGTGGTGGGCTACTGGCCCAAGGCCAACGGGGCCAGTAGGGAGGGGGGTAAGCAGCTGCCGTTCGCGGGCGACGGCCACCGCGTCGCAACCATGGCCAATAGCAGCAGCAGTGGCAGCAAAAACCGGTCCAGGAGCCACCCAGGGACTCTGCAAGGTGTCAACTCCAGTTCCGTGGGCGCGCCCAGGAGCACGCCTCCAGCGCGGCCCCCCGCCCCGTCCCCGTCTTCCTCCACGTCGGTGGGCTTCTTCTTCCGCGTCTTCTCCGGCTACCTGCACTCTGACAAGCTCAAGGTCTTCGGGCCCCTCATTATGGGCATCGGCATCTTCCTCTTCATCTGCGCCAACGCCGTGCTCCACGAGAACCGGGACAAGAAGACCAAGATCATCAACCTGCGGGACCTCTACTCCACCGTCATCGACGTGCACAGCCTCCGCGCCAAAGACCTGGCTGCCGCCGCGGCCGCGGCCGCCG